CAGCTGTTTGCGATTCAAGGCCGCCTGAAGCTTAACAACTATATTTTCGGCTTTGGTGCGGACCAGCCTTTCCTGCCTGGTCTATAATGGCAAGGGCCATGATGCTGGCGCTTGCTGTGATGGTCGCTCGCGTTGGGGGCGTGTTCCTCCCGATGAGCGAGGCTGATTTGCATGCTGCGAAGTGGGCCATCGATTGTGCCAAAGATTACGCCGACCCGCACCCGCCAATCTTCACCCAGCACGGCATCAACACTCACATGTTCCTGTGGGGAGTTACAGTCATCAACAAGGTGGTTGACATGGGCGCTCAATTGGGTCGAGACTTGGACTTCTTCGAGGTGTTTGCTGGTAATGCGGGCATATCGAAGCAACTGAAGGAGTGGAGTTACAATGTCACCGCCATGGATCGCAGCACGTGCAGGATCTTCGAGGACATGTGCCTGCTCGCGGGTCTCTTCTACGGTGCGCTGACCGCCCTCAGGGTCGTGGCGAAGGGCACAGTATGGTTTTCGCCTCAATGCTCTACGCGGGGCAACATGGCGAGGCACCACACCAAGCGGCCCCTTGAGGATCCGATGGGAGACACCGACCGCCGCGACGTGGTTGAGGCCAACACGTTGGCAGTGATTGTGTCATGGAAGGGGGTAAGCTCTCAAGTTTGGCACGTTGACCCCTCCATTGACCCCCCATTGACCACCCATTGACCACCATTGACCTCCGAGGTCGACTGCGGTCAATGGGAGGTCAATGGGAGGCCAATGGTGGGTCCACCCATTGACCACCATTGACCTCCGATGTCAACTGCGGTCAATGGCGGTCAATGGGAGGTCAATGTGAGGTCAATGGTTGGCCCACCCATTGACCACCATTGACCTCCGATGTCAACTGCGGTCAATGGCGGTCAATGGGAGGTCAATGGGAGGTCAATGGTGGGTTCACCCATTGACCACCATTGACCTCCGAGGTCAACTGCGGTCAATGGTGGTCAATGGGAGGTCAATGGGAGGTCAATGGTTGGCCCACCCATTGACCACCATTGACCTCCGACGTCAACTGCGGTCAATTGCGGTCAATGGGAGGTCAATGGGAGGTCAATGGCCAAGCCGGTGATACGCAACATGCGCATTATTCCGTGTCGGGTCCGGGCCCATGAGAAACACCTGGATGATCGTGTAGCATGTTTGCCATGTTGCGTTGAAAAGGGGTGGTTGCGAAACCAAGCTGGTGTGCGAGATGGCGTGGGTGGGTCGTGCCAGGGTGTGCCACGCGGGTATGAGCTAAACTGCAAACGCACATAAACCGCCCACCTAAACTGCAAAAGGGTATGAGTTGAAACTGCAAGCAATATTCCTCCTCCTCCTCCTCGTCCCTCCCCCTCCTCCGACAATCTAATTTTCTGAGTCCCTCATCAATGTCCCGTGCCTCTTCCTGCTCCTCCTCTTTTTTCCTCTCGCTCCGATCCTACCGTTGATGGTGTTCACTGCTCACGCCCCCGAAGGTCATGGTTGATGGTGGCCTGCTTCTCACGGAACGTTTATGTGGCCATCGAACAGCCCATCATTTCCATCCTGTACCACCATCCATCCATGAAAGCAGCGTTGGAGACCATTGGCGCTCGCAGGATCATCGTGTACGCTGGCCAGTTCGGCGCCCCTAGCAGGAAACCTCTGGAGATCTACACAACCCTCCCCGAGAATGCCCTTGCCACTCTCCGCGCGACGCAGAAGGGTGCCGACGCTCGCGTGAAGGCTATCGGCAATTTCGAAACGGGGCCTGGCCGCGTTTCTCGAGAGGGTTGGAATGGGACGGTGTATTGCAGCATCATCCCCATGATCATCTCAGATCCCTCCCCCCGCCCCTAGTACCCCTCCCCCCCTCCCGATCTCTCCTGTCGCCCCTCTCTCACCTCTCCCATCTTACTCCAGCCTCTATCCCCCCCTTCCCTCCCACATCACAGCTTTCTCCACTTCCCCCCGCGCCCTCTCACCCTCCGCCTCTGCGCATCCCCCGAGGCGCTGTCGGAGACGAAGCCGCTCTTCATTCGCGAGGAGAAGAAACGCAAGCACGGCCAGGATGCTAGCATGCAGGAGGATGGCAAACGCGGGCGGGGCGGGAGCTCGAGCTGGGTGACGGGCACGTCCGAGCAGAAGGCCAGCCAGCAGTACCCCAAAGAGATGTGCAACGCTGTAGCACGGGCTGTAGTGGCTGCGAAGTCTGACGGCTCCGCGTCCGATTGATGACGATCGGCACTAGCAGCGGTGGCGACGATTACATGCAGCATCAGCAACGACTAGCCACCAACAGCAACAAACAAAACAACGACCACTCGCGCACGACAGCAATCAACACATCACCGCAAATTAGAGCCACGTGTGAACACACGTGGCTGCACGAGCCTGTTCGCAGCCATCCGTCTCCAACGATGGGCTTCGGATCAGGGGTAAGAGAAACATGGGGATGGGCATGCGGTCAGCGCGAAGATAACGAACGAGTGAGGAAGAAAGAAGCGGGCAGAAGCGGTGGGCGGGAGTGGGGGGCGGGGCACAGGCTGACTCGGGAGGGAATTTCAAGGATTAGCATGGCTGAAGGTGCGCCCTGAAGCGGCGAGCCGAGACTGCGCGAACGAGCACCGATCTCTCTCGAGGAGTTCTGGCAATCGACGTTCTGCACTGACAGAAAATTGAAAGGTTCCCCTGGGCATCTGGTAACGTTTGGGACACGGGATGGATGGCGAGGGAGGGCGCGCCATTTCCGTCCAGCCCCTATCTTCCTCCCATCCCGCGCCCCAAAGGTGCCGCATGCTCGTCGAACCAACTGTGACTCACCATTGCTCGCCTCCTATGGCTGTCTATCGTTCGCACGTTCTCTCTCCCTCTCTCTCGCTCTCGCTCGCTCTCGCTCTCTCTCCTCCGTTCCTTTCCTTCCTGTCATCCCTGCACCTTGTATGTCTCGCGTTATCTATATACATATACATACCGTTTATACAAACCTGTACATATATATATATATAGATGTAAGCATATACATATATATATATATACATATACATATACATATACATAAATATATATATATATATATATATATATATATATGTGTACATGTCTCTATACCTGCAACTCCCTCAGCCCCTACCGACCTCCATCCCTCACTAACTCACGCACTCACTCTCCTTTCTCTATGCCCCCATCCCACTCCTAAGGCCCTCTCGCGTGTTTGGGGGCACGTTCTGCACTGACGGTCCTGAATGGATCCAATGTTGGCACATAGGAGGTGTTTGAGGTCAATGAGGGTCAGTGGCGAGTCAATGGGAGGTAAACGGACGGCGTTTGCGGGACACGTGGCATAGTGGCAAGTGTGGAAGCTAGTTGATCGAAAATGGGGGTTGGTGATAGAGATCGAACGAGAGAGAGAGATAGAGACAACTACGTAAACAGATAAACATATAGCTAGATATAGAGAGATAGAAACATATTTCGAAACTGTGAGAGATAGAGAGCGATATAGCGGAAGCGCGGAAGAGAGAGAGAGAGAGAGAGAGAGAGAGAGAGAGAGAGAGAGAGAGAGAGAGAGAGAGAGAAATATATATATATATATAGAGAGAGAGAGAGAGAGAGAGAGAGAGAGAGAGAGAGAGAGAGAGAGAGAGAGCGAGAGCGAGAGCGAGGATAGGGAGAGATATAGATATATAGAGAGAGAGGTACGCCACGTGCTGCTGGTCAGATCTAGACCGAAACCCTCCCGTGGGCGCGCCTCCAACTATGGTGCGTTTGATTGCTTTTGTGTGCTCTCGCCTCATCGGGGAGGCCCAGCCGCCGCCGTAGCGCTCGCCGCCGCGGCCCTGCGACCTTTCGTGGGCACCTCGCGGCCGTCGCTGCCCCTTCGTAGTCCGCGGCTGCCCGTCGTTGCCCGTCCCGTCCCAGCCTCTCGCGGTCATTGCGGCACCTGGTGGCCCCTCGCGGTCTGGCGCGCGCCGAGGCCGCGCTCGGAATCCGCGGCGGGCACGTGCACTTCTTCCTCCGAGGAGGCGCCGTGGGTCGCACATATGCGCAGATCCTGCGGGGCACCCCCCCTCCCTCGCCCTTTCGGATTTTCCCGTTTGTACATCTTGTGTGGATTACATGGGGCTCGACCCTTACGACTTGATGACTGTGTTGGATGGCTGGGCCGCCCTCGAACGCATGGTGCCTGACGCCCGTCGCACAACGGACGCTGGCTGCGACGTGGCATGAGTTTTTTCTCTGCGTCGCTTGATACCGAGAGACAAAAAACGAGAGAGAGAGAGAGAGAGAGAGAGAGAGAGAGAGAGAGAGAGAGAGAGAAAGAACAAAAAAAAAAAAACAGACACGGATACATATATATATATATATATACATACATACATACATATATTCATATATATATATAGAGAGAGATATAGCAACATGCCAATACAGAGAAAATGAGAGAGATCGAGGGATAAACATATAGACGAGGGGAGGGCGGAAAGGAAGACAAGGGCATGAGGGGGGGCGCTAGGGAGAAAGCGAGGGGAAAAGATAATGAAGGGAAGAGATGGACGGGATGAGGAGGGGGGTCGAGGAAGGGAGGATGACCGGGGGAAGGGATCAGAAGGGAAGAGAGGGGGGAGGAGAGGAGGACGACGAGGATGCGGAAGGGAGGGGATGATATCATGAGGAGTGAGGATGATGCTTTTTGTAGATTTGATAGATAAACACCAAGAAAATAAAGCTGGTGATTGTCTGGCGTCCAAATCCTGGCGTTCAAATTTTCAACGCCGAAACCTGGCGTCCACTTTGGGCGATATGAGACCTCTGGGTAGTCGGTGGACGACCTCCGGAGGCTGCGCTTCCCCGTCGCCAGCGACCAGCGCATGATCCGGATGGCCCTGGAGCAGGCAGAGGAAGTGGAGCGAGCCCGGGCGCGTGCCCAGCCGGGGCCCCCGCCGGAGGGGGCGGCGGGCGCCGCGCCCGCATCCGGGACGGCGGGGGGGGCGGCAGGCGCCGACCCATTCGTCGCCCGGCCCAGCCTCCGGATCACGCTCCAGAGGATAGCGGGCCCCCAGCGCGCCGAGGAGCGTCACCGGCTCCTCCGGGAGCGCCTCATCACCCTCTTGGGCGTCCTCGACACGCCCGGTGACCGGGGCGCCCGGGGCTGCGCGCGCGAAGACCTCGTGGCCTCCCTGGAGGAGTCGTACTCCGAGGTTCACCTGGCGTTCCTCACGGAGTCGCGGCGCGCCCTCGCGTTCGCCTCCGGGGTCGGGCCCCCGGAGCTCACCCACAGGCCCGAGCTACTCGAGGAGGGAGATCATGAGGGGGCCCCCCGTGCGGCCCTGGGGCCCGAGGTGGTCCCGGTGCAGCGACGGGCGGAGGGGGGCCCCAACCCCGCGCGGGAGGCGGAAGAGCCTCCCCCGGAGGAGCCACCCCCGGCACCCGCAGGCCTCGGGAGCGCGACGGTCGTCCCCGGCCCCGCCGGACCGGCGCAGGGAGAAGCCCAGGACGAGTCGGGGGAGTCGGGCGGGAGCGCAAGAGGAGCGTATGAGGAGGACCCCGACGAGGACCCTTACGACTGGGTGGCCAGCTGGATCCCGGAAGGGATGGCGGCGGACTGGGCGCGCACCCCCATGCTGCCGACGGGCGGCTACACTATCAGGGCGCCCATCCCCACAAGCTGGGTGGAGCTGTGGAAGCCCGAGGTCCTGCAGGAGATAGGCCACTTTCCCCCGGAGCTGGCGGCGTGGCTGGACTCCACCATTCGGGTCGGGGGGGGTGAGTGGATCCAGTTTGATGGGTGCCCGCGGAGCCTGGACGCCCACCGCGCCCTCCCGCTCCGCTTGGAGGAGGGAGGCACGGAGACGGTCTACTACCACCCGAAGCACATGCTGCTGTTCTTCGTGGAGGCGCGGGAGGTCTACAGGCTGATGCACTTGGTCCAGGGCCCAGTCCCCCAGCACCTCAGGGCGCACCGGGATGAGCAAAACCTCCGAACGGGACGCCTCCCCCCCCCCGCCGCTTCGGAAGACCGCGGAGCCCGTCGCCGGCGGGGAGGCGGACGGGGCCGCGGGGGGGCACCCCGCTGACGCGGAGAGCGGGGGCGGGAGACCCCTCCCAGATCAGGGCGCGGAGCCGCCTCAGGACGCACCCGCTGAGGAGGGGCGGGGAGGCGGGGGCGCGGGGCCGGGATGGGGGGGCGGACCAGAAGGGCGAGGCCGACCCTGTCGGGGCCGCCAGCCCGGCCCAGGGCGCGGCGGAGGACGGGCCCAGGCTGGAGGGACCGGCCGAATCACCCGAGCCCCCGGAGGGCGCCCAGTCCAGGCACCCGCACTTCCAGCTGCCGGAGGAAGGGCCCCCGGAGCCCGAGCCGGCACCCCCGGCCGAGGAGCAGGGACCCCAGGAGGCGGAGCCGGCGGCGCCGGCCGAGGAGCAGCCCCGACCATCCAAGTCACCCTGAAATACTCAGTTGGTCGGGGATTTTGACACGGTGCTTTTTCAGGGCGTCAATTTCTAGAAAAAGACGCCCTGAAGAGGAGGAGGAGGAGTTAAGAGGAGGAGGAGGAAGAAGAGGAGGAAAAGGAGGAGGAAAAGCAGGAGGAGGAGGAAGAGGAGGAGGAGGAGGAGGAGGGAGAGGGAGAGGGAAAGAAGGAGAAAGATAAGGAGGAGGAGGAGAAGGAGGAGGAGGAGGAGGAGGAGGAGGAGGTACCCTCATCCGATCACATGTTTGTGTTCATTTACATCATGTTGCGTGGTCTCTGGTATACAGGTGTAGCGTGTGTTGTATCCAGCTGCCTGCGGCAAACCCCGCCACCGCGCGCGGGTTGTGGGTCAGAAGCCTCATGGATGTTGGTCAGGATCTATGGACGTTCGGGTGCCTCCTGGAGACAAATGTGAATATTCCTGCGGGATAACTGCTGTTTTTCTTGGTGGCCTCTTGATGGCTTGCCCCTTGGTAGCCTGAGGGCAGAAGGCTCGATTTTTCTGTTCGCGATTCCGCTCTTAGGCTTTTTTTGTCACGGGCGTTCTTAGGCTGTCTTGGGGCCCTCTTGGGGCCATCTTGGGCTGTCTTGAGGCCCTCCGAAGCAGTAGCAGTAGGAGTATCAGCAGTAGTAGCAGCAGCCGTAATAGCACGGCGGCAGCAGTAGCAGCAGTAGCGGCGGTAGTAGCAGCAGTAGTAGCAGTAGCAGCATAAATTTCAGTAGCAGTAGCAGCAGCAGCAGCAGTGGAAGCTGCAACAGTGATAGCGGCAGCGGCGGCAACAGCCAGCAGCAGCAACGGCAGCAGCAGCAGCAGCAGCAGCAGCAGTCGTTGGCAGGGCTGGCGGAACACGGGCGGAAACCCTATGGATATAGCAGGGCGGACGGTGGAGAATTAGGGGGCATGGGTGGAATGCTTATGGTTTTTGCTTGCCAGGGCGACATTGCCCATCCAAGTCAAGCTTCGCACTTCGACTCAGCCAAGAAAACAAACCACTTATGCAACAACGTCTCTGCCATGCGAGCTGGGTGGCACGAAAGCCCAACTTGTTTCAAGAAGCGTTGCAAATCCTCATCTCCGTAAGTCCACCCAACTTTTGGGTTCAGTCTAGGGGAACTGCACATGTGTTGGAACATATGGAATTTTGGAACCATCTTCCAAGACCTCATATTACCGCGCAGAGCTTCAAGAGATAACGCACCGTACATGCTGAGAAGGTTCTTTGCAAGAATAGGTAATTCTCGTCGAGTGGCCACACTCAAGAATCGGCCTTCTGTCTCCACGATGTCGTAAAATCTGACCAGCAATGTCATTATGCCCAAGCGCCTCTTATCATGAATTGAACCTGTATTAAATTGCCTACACAACAGCAAAGCAAATCTGGAGATGTGTCTGGTGTTTGCAGCCTTGGCCTTCAATTTAGGCCAATCTTTTTTCGTTCTGATTCTCTCAAAAGTCAATTCTCCATCAACCTTGAAGCCCGATGCTTTTCCACATTCCTTCAACCTGTTCTGGAGAGAAACCAACTTGTCATGCCAATTTGAACCCTCCAGGTGGTCCCGCATCACTTCGATGAACACGTTGGCAATGCAGTGCGATGCCAAGCCCTGGTCAACGGCATGTAGTACGTCTGGTTGTACTCCTTCCAGCCTGAGTGTTTTTATGATGTAAATCGGTGGCAATTCTGTTCCAGCGGCTGTCAGGGCAGCCTGGTAGCTCTCGTGGGTTCTCACTGTACCCCTCCAGCCAGCTTCATACCCAAAATCTGTCCACATCAATCCTGGAGTGCTGTTCGAAGCATTGCAGAATAAACACATGTTAGGCTCCTGATCCCATCTCGGTGCGTTCACAGTCTCGGCATCAGCTAGAAATTCCCAATCACCACGTAAATGTATGAGGGCGGCCTTATATCCACCGATGATTGGACGGCCAGCTTCTGGATGGGGCCGGCCTTTCCAATCAAGATTTGGGATCCTTCCGTCACATAAAGCATTCATACTCCATGCAAACCGTGTCCAGAGAGAAGCCTGAGTTCTGCCAGTTATGTCCGATGATTTGATCGTGGTAAATACCTGGTGAGTCTCTTTCGTCGACCCCTGCCCGAGCAAGCTCGTCCAAGAGATTGTGAGCAGCGACTGGGTCTTGGTAGTAGCAGCCTTGTCCCCATGAACACCGAGCGGAATCGTCTTTCTTCTGTCGATCAGATGTTGAATTCCCGTGTAAACGGGATCGCCTTGCATGCAGCGCCAAAAATCCGAAATCTCTCCAATGTCACCTCTCAATGTTTGGTTGAACTTGTGCTCGTCCTGGACGATGCGCTCGATCATCTTGATCGGGCACATTATTGGATGCGGAGTGCACTCACCCCGAGTAGTAGGGATGTCGATCCATTCCATAAGCGGGCATTGTTTTGGCCAGCCAATTGCCCGTGACATGTCACGAGCTGCATTCCGAACGTCTGATGTGTGAGCGAGCTTTCCCAGCTGTTCTGCGCCTTGTGCGGCAGCCTTGACGCAGTATTCTTGTGCAACGTTTGCCTGGAGCTTGCCCCGTCCCCAGTCTCGCTTGATGGCAGAGCTAAACGGTGTGAAAGTGCACTCTTCTGTGGCAGTGCCACCGTGGGCCGAAAGAACTCGTTTTTTCACACCTCCAGCTCGATTCCCCGAAGCGGACGATTGCCCAGAATCAGCATTGATCGCCTCATCAAGGCGTCGCCTAATACCTCCTCTGCGCATGGACATGCCACTAGTTGGAGAAACGAGACAGATGCATATCACAAAGAACACACTTGGCAACTTCATTACTGCGAACGTGCTTCGGCCAAAACGGCACTGGAAGGAAAGGGGATGGATTGGCACGGGAGGGAATTGCAGGGGGGATGACGGTGTTGATGATGATGATGATGATGCTGATGATGATGATGATGGTGATGATGATGATGACGATGATGGTGATGATGATGATGATGATGATGATGATGATGTTGATGCTGATGATGCTGATGCTGATGCTGATGCTGCTGCTGCTGATGGTGATGATGATGATGATGTTGATCTGAATCGTTGCTCTCGCCTTAGCGTTGGTCACTGGACCACGGATCCAAAGAGTAGCCGCCCACAACGTACCAAGATCCCCAAGAACCCCAAGAGTCCCAAGCGTCCCAAGAGTCAAGCATCCCAAGAGTCTCAAGAGCCCTAACAGCCCCACGAATCGAGCATCCCAAGAGTCTCAAGAGCCTTCAGGGTCCCAAGAGTCCCACGAGTCCTAAGAGTGTCCAGAGCCCCAGTAGCCCCGAGAATCCGAAGAGTAGCCAGTCGCACCGATGTTTTCCCTACTGGCGAAGCGCCTGGCTCCCCACAACACGTTGAGTCCAGGAGTGCTTGGTCTGGACCTCTAGCGCATCGTCAGCGCAGCTTCTCTGGGCGGCTAGCTCCTCTGGGCGGCCTGGCCTCATTCTGAAGCGGCACTCCTCTGCGCAGCTAGCTCGTCTTGGCCTTCTTGTTCGACTTCGGGTTGATCTTCGAGTACCATTCGTTGACGGTGTTGAAGTCCGAGAAGATGGGATCCAGCTTCTGTGCCACAGCCATTGCACGAACGTCATCGGCAGTGTCATTGACCACGAGATCCTCCATTACTTTGTAGATAGCCGCCGTTCTGGGAATGAGTTTCTGCGCGTCCTCGTGCGCTGCAACTGCGTACTTGTTATCCTTGGTGGTCGTGAGAATCTTCTTGAGCTCCGTCAGCATCTCATTGGTCGAACGCAAGACCTTCCTCGGATCCTTCTTGATAGCCTCCGCCGTCTTCTGGAACTTGCCGAACTCCGACTTCACCTCGACCTTGACTTCGACAGGTGCCAGATCTGTGGAGCCGCTCGAAGTCGCCGACGGTACCCCTGCGATATTCTCCGCGATGCTCTCGACGTGGTCGAGGATCTCCTTCGCCCTCGCCTCGTCGGTGATCTTCTGCTCGTTGGACAGGTTCTTGTCGTTCGTCTTGGTCTCGCTCTCGCTCCCCCTCCCGAAATAGATCTTGTATTCGGTGAGGAACTCTCCGTGCTTGCCCGTGGCCTGGTCAGCTCGAGTCTCCAATGTGCCGCTGTCGATCTGGGCCTGGCCCTTGTTCGGGCCGAGCCGCTGGTAGATTGTCTCCTTCGACATCCACTCGTGATCTTGGGCAACCTGGCTTTGAACTCGGAGCGAGCGTATCGAGCTGAGCTTGTTCTCTCCCTCGAGCTTCTTCACCTTGTCAGCGAACCAATTAACCAGGAACTCGTTCTTCTTAGCATTGTTCAGATTGTCGTAGGCGGCCTTGGCACCTTGCCCTCGGAGCCAGTAGGACAGGTTGGATCGTTGGCGCTTCATCTCCTCCTCATTTGCGAGAACCTCTTGTGCCTTGGTTAGGTCGCTCTTGGAGACCTCGAACGTGGGAAGGCTAGCCTTTTTTTTCGGTGCCATGGCGTCTGCCTTGCAGAGTGAGCTCAATCGCCTGGGATACTCCGTGACAGCTCGAGCCATCACGTTTGCGGGGAATTGGAGCGCCAAACACCTCGAGACAGAATCTGACAGATTCTGTCATTTTCTGTCTTTTTCTGTTTTTTCCCGGGGTCCTGTCGTGACAGAAAATGACAGAATTTGACAGAATTTGACAGAATCTGTTTTTGGGGTTTCGCCTGATACATTCGTTAATTTTGGGCCCTGACAGAATCTGTATTTTTCTGTCGTTTTCTGTTTTTTTTTCTCTGTTTTTTTGTAGTGTCCCTGGGTGACAGAATTTTACAGAATTTGACAGATTCTGTCGGATTCTGTCTCTCACGTTCCGCGGGGGCAATGGGCGAAGGCGTGGGGGAGGTGAAGAGGCCAAAGGGTTGGGAGGTGGATTTGGGAGAGACGGAGAGAGAGAGACACATTGAGGACGAGTGGAAGGGCGGAGAGAGTCAGCAACGGCTCAAGATTATTCCAAGAGATCCCATGAAGCCCCCAGAAGGCTCAAAGAGGCCCTGAAGAGGCCCTCAGGAGGCTCAAAAAAGCCGGCCCCAAGAGGCCATCCCGCATAGACCCAGAGAGCCCCAAGAGACACCAAAAGGCCTGACACATGCTAACATCGGTGCCGATGGCAAAGATGGCGACCGTAACGACGGCAGTTGCGGTGTTATTTTATTTTGTTGTGTTTTTTTTTTCCCCGAAGGCGGGCGCCTTGAGACAGGAGTTCCTTCATAAGGTTGGGTGCGGTGGTCGACCCCTAAAACCGACCATTTTCAGCCCAAAGTGGTCGGTTTTCACTCGTTGGGAACCCAGAGCCCACGAGGAGTCCTCGGGGTCCTTGGGGCCTGGGCGGGCGGCGAATCAGGCAGGCCTGCCCCCCCTCCCTCCCTCCTCCTTCCATGAGAATGAATGACATGCCGATGCTGATGACGATGTGTTCTGCCTCTAGCAGTTGGCAGCAAGGACGCGTTGCAGCCTCTGCCGCTGGACACGCAGAGCAAACCGAGCAGCAAAGTTGACTGTGCAAAACGCGCAGCTGCCGAGGACTGGAACTGAACCCGTGAATCATTTCTCCTCTGGATTCTCTGTGGCCTCCCCGTCCGCTGGGCCCTTCTGGTCCTCGTTCTTCTTGGCCTTGGATGGCGGCGGTGGCTCGGGGTCGCTAGCAGAGCGCTTCGGTGGAGGCTTGCTCGGCTCACAGAGGTTCTTGGCATGCGGCTTGAGCTCCTCGTACTTCTCGAACGCAGCACGCGCCCGAGCGATGACTCCTGCTGGTTCGCAGCCCCACTCGGGCTGACTATCGCCTCCCAGCACGGGATCAATCATGGACAGGAGCTCGGCAATCTCGATGGTGAGGCGTTCGATGTCCTCCATCAACGGCACGGCGTATTTCGGCTTCCCGTTCGTGTTGAACCACATTGTCCATACAGCCGCGACCGTCTGCATGTCTTCGAGCGTGTCCTTGTGCTGAACCAGCAGACTGAAATCGCAGGTGTCTCCATCCTCCTGCGAATCGATCTCCACAGATTGGCTGGCCATCTCAGGTAGGATGTATGGTCCGATGCACAGGTCGTGAACTCGCAAGGGCCTCTGCAAACACGGCTGCGGGTGGGTGAGTGGAGAAGAGGATGGGCTTATGAGGCCCCCAAGTTTGTTTCCAGGGGGCGTTTGAGAGTGCCCTTGCAAGATCCCGAACAACATCCCTGGGGTTAACTGCCCACACCCCAGGCACGATTGAGACGATCGCAAGCTGGAGGAGCCGCATGGGCTCAAGTAGATGGGTGGAGAGGTGGCAGCAACAGTATAATGGTGGCCTCGAGACTCTTCCGAGGCCGTTCGACTCCCCAATACACCAAAAGTTCTGAAGAGACTCGGCTCCGCCAAGACCTGCAGACGCCCAAGACATAATGACACCCCGCCAAGGATTGAAGTGCAACTTGCCTGGAGCTCGGGGGCCCAGCGGAGGAAGTGGAAGAGAAGTCAGGAACTTCGGGGCCACGGCTGGACGCGATGATGATGATGCTGCTGCTGATGATGACGGTACTGATGATGATGATGATGATGATGATGATGAAGGTGGTGGTGGTGATGATGATGATGATGATGATGATGATGATGCTGATAATGATGATGGTGATGGTGGTGGTGATGATGATGATGCTGATGATGATGATTATGCTGATGCTGATGGTGATGATGATGATGATGACGATGGTGTTGCTGATGATGATCACCTCATCTTCTCCTTTTGGCCTCCCGTCTGCCTCACCGAGCCCCACCACTCCCACCCTCTCCCCTCTTCACGCTATCTACTGCTCTTCACACACTTTCATACTCTTTGCGATGTTTCACCCCCAATGTCCATGCTGGTGGTGAAGGTGACGATGCTGATGATGTTTTTTTTTTTTTTGCAGAGCGCACCCCGCGCCCGCTCCAGACGCACACCTCTGTCAGAGGTGAACGGGTGTCTACACATCCTGGAGCTCGCTGTGTGCACCAGCAGCCCTCTCTGCCCGCAGCTCAGCGGTCTTCGCCTGGCCCGCCCTCGACGCCATCTTCTTGGCGTACTCGCTGTTCTTGTCGTAGCCCAGCAACGCTAGGCGACGCTTCTCAGCAGCCCAAGCCCTGCTGTGCATCTTGTTGAGGTACTTATCCCACTCCGTCTTCACGGAGCTCCCGTCGGCCTTGCCGGCCTTGGCCTTGCTGGCCTTGGCCTTGCTGGCCTTGGCCTTGTTGGCCTTGGCCTTGCCCTTGCTGGCTTTGGCTGTCCCCAGGGTCTTGCCCTCCACCTGCACCTGCACGACCTTCGTGCCAGCCAAAGTCGATTCGCCAGCTTTGAAGGCCTTGTTGAGCTTACTCCACTCCTTGGCTGACATGCCCTGCGCGTCGGTGTCAGCGAGAGCCTCCATCTCGCTCAGCTTGAGGTCGCCCTCAGCGTGTACTCCCGACATATGCGGCGTGTGCTGCGTGATGGGGTCCTCTGTGACCGTGATGGTGGCCGTGCTGGTCGTCGTCATGTAAACGTCACGGTAGAGATCAGTATCGGCCATGTTGGTCTTCTTTTTCAGCCGTCTCAGTGGGAGGCATTGGAGAAGGCGGCGCAGCTCAGGATTGTCTCTTCCGACGTCGAGCTTCGCGTCGTTCGTCTCGGACTCCGCGTCTGACCCCAGCAAGTCGACCACAGGCGCAATGACCCGACGCGGTGATGCCATCTGGACGTCGTCGTCGTCGTCGTTGGCGTCGTCCTTGCGATCCGTGCCGAGCTTCGGCTTGCGAATGTTGACGATGAGCTTGTCCCAAATCGTCTGGAACTTGTGAGCCCACATCTTCGGGAGCGTCCGATCAGGATTCGACTTGTGGTTCGCGATCTGGGAGATGATGCCTCTGTACGTGTAGGATGCCTTTTCCGCAACCTCGGAACTCAACTCAACGCCCGACGAGGCTGCCCAACTCTTGATGCCAGCCATCATGTTGAGCTGGTGGATGTTCAGGCCGTTGCTGTACTCGAGGAGATGGTTGATCGAGTCAGCGAACTTGGACGCCTTCTCCCACGATGGCGCCCTCTTGAAATCTAGGGAATGAGCATACGGCATGAAATTCTTCGGCTGCATCGCACTCGAGGGTATCATCTCGAGAGATTCCACGATCTTCTCGATGGGTATTTCGGTTGACTGCCGACGGGCCCCGTCTGTCATTGTTGGTCAGTGCGGGCGAGAGGCCTCTCTTCCTAAAAGCTTGAGCCAAAATGGCTACGGACGTGTTCGCAGCCTGCCTGCAAGCGCGCGAAGCGCCAACAGGACAGACCGTCATGCCAGGCTGCGGCCATTATCATGTTCTTTTGTTTGTTTGTTTGTTTGTTGTTTTGGTTTTCGCCCAGGAAACGTTTTTTTTTGTCTGTTTGTGTGTTTGTTCTCATGTCGAGGCTGCTGACCTTGCCCAGGAAACGTTTTTTTGTCTGTCTGTTTGTTTGTTATCATGTCGAGGCTGCTGACCTCGCCCAGGAAACGTTGTTTGTTTGTTTGTTTTGTTTGTTCCCCCGATCAATATTGACGAAGACCAAGGGAAGGTAGCCTCAGAGCGAACGGGCCAATCAACCGGCAATAGCTTGCAGACAGGAGGAACCGCCCTGCATCCGTGAAACTGCTTCCAAGACAGACGCCATAACCACGTTCAGTCCGCCGACCCCTACGGGGTGCCTGCCAATGCGTGCGCTTCCATCTGTTCTTTCTCCTTTTGTTGCTGCGCTGGTTTCTTGCCACGGTCTCGTCTTCGCTTTCGTCGTTGTCGTTCTCCTCTGCCTCCTCCTAGTCCTCCTTTTCCTCCTCGTCCCCTCCTTTCCCCTCCTCCTCCTCCTCTCCTCCTCTCCTTCTCCTCCTCCTCCTCTTCCTCCTTCTCCTCCTCTTCCTCATTTTCCTTCCCCTCCTCCTCTTTGTCTTCCTCCTCCTGCTCCTCATCATCATCTTTCTCGTTCTCCTCTTCTTCTTTTCCACCTCCTCTTCTTTCTCCTCATCCAGATCCCGCTTCCCTTCCTCCTTGTCCTTATTCTCCTCCTCCTCCTCCTCCTCCTCCTCCTCCTCCTCCTCCTCCTCCCCCTCCCCCTTTTCTCATCTTCCTCATCCGCCTCCTCCCAATCCTCCTCGTCGGCCTCATCCGCCTCGGGCCCTGCAAGACATCCATAACCTCGCCACTGCGCGTAGGTTGATGCGTGTATGGGGCACGCTCGCATGATAACGCAAGCGCAAGAACGACAGAGCACAGGCACCCGAGCGCGCATCTGCAAAAGCAGCCGCCCATTTGGATCCCAAAGAAAAAGGCGTCAGGGAGACAAAAACCAAAATCATCGCCGAATGCTTGAATTTTGGGGGGGGGGCGTCTGTTTTTTGGTTACATTTTTAATGATAATGGTCGCATGCGACCAATATCCCAAGAAATCCACCCTAATTTTCTAACTCGGCGTGAATTTAAAGGCGCCGCTCCTGTTTCTTGGTCGACTTGGAAGGTCGGGGAGGCCCCGCCGCAGGCTCCGGAGGAACCCGCCTCCGACGCGGTGGAGGAGCTCCAGCT